CGACGCTACAACCCAGAAGTTAGAAATCTTTAGTTGTATTATTTTAATTTAGTTTTAATTTTGGGTTCATCACGCCTCTCATAGCTTAACGACAACCTATCGTCAAGGAATTTAAAAGTGAGATCCTTAGGACTAAGTCATGATGAGATAGCCAATTCATCTTAAGTGGAATTGTTATTATCTATAGCAAATTGAATCATCACAGAATTACGATATCTCTCTTGTAGAGAAAATATATGATTACAGAAGATAGAGCGTTATGACAGTAAACTACTTACATCTGGTGTGAATAAGAAAATATTGTCACCATATCCAGGCTAATTTAGGGCTCTAAGAGTGTACTTTTAACTGGATCCATTCGTGAGCAGATGGTCGCAGAACAGATGGGTGTTAAATGAGCTGTAAATCCATCACTCAATTGATTAACAATTTAATTAATCCACATTTTATAAGGACAACGACAGAGGTGGATATAAAGAGCGAAATAATACAATTCTAGATAATAAACAAAGCCGTAAAGAATGTAAAAATTCTTGAGGACACTCAGTTCAAATTACAATATATAAGACAGTTATTTTATATTGTTCAGATACGTTGATAGCTCAAGATTCTGAAATGCGTTTTTATCAGCAGCAGAAGGGAAACTCAGAACTCACGAGAGGACTGAATATATTAAAAATAAATTGCGTATTAAAGATTAGGAGTAGAACTTAAGGCTATAAAAGTAAATGATAGAAAAAATTGAAGAAAGGCATTTATCAAAAAACCTGTTATTTGGTTATATAGCACGAAACAGTAATTGCGAACAAAATTTAATAAACCAACAGTCAAATGGTTCTCGAGGTAAGTGGTGATACGGTATAAACATGACTTTAGTTTCATTGTATGGAAAAGTGTGACTTATGGATAACGTGTATTAGATATGAGACATCTTTCGCTTTTCTCTACTAAACCTTCTGTTCTAAATAATTATCGATTCGGTAAATACAGCGAGTTACGAGATTCTCTCTGTAAATGCACAAATATAAACCCACGTAGCTCTTCGCGTAGTGTCTCTTATTATTGTCAGATTTTAACAAAAATTTTCAATGTTTCCAGAAATTGTGTTAAAAAATCTGATGAATCAAATCAAAACAGCGTTTATCAGATCTCCATTTGTTACACGCGGACAAACGGGCTGATAGACAGGCAAAGCTAACAAACGTATTTCTAAAGCTTTTCGTTCTGAAATGGCCTGAAACTAATGTTGGAAGACTAATATTAAGATGAATCAACTCTGGGTATTTTTTTTATATCTTAATTGCGTCATGTTTGTGTTATATCAATACATATATTTATTTTTCCAGTCTATAGACAAAACTTGTTTTAAAATAATGTTGTTTAAATTTTTTTATAACATTTACAATATAAATTGCCTTATGTTATATAACATAAGGCAATTTATATTGTAAATGTTATAAAAAAATTTAAACAACATTATTTTAAAACAAGTTTTGTGTATAGACTGGAAAAATAAATATATAAATTGCCTTATGTTATATAACATAAGGCAATTTATATTGTAAATGTTATAAAAAAATTTAAACAACATTATTTTAAAACAAGTTTTGTGTATAGACTGGAAAAATAAATATATAAATTGCCTTATGTTATATAACATAAGGCAATTTATATTGTAAATGTTATAAAAAAATTTAAACAACATTATTTTAAAACAAGTTTTGTGTATAGACTGGAAAAATAAATATATAAATTGCCTTATGTTATATAACATAAGGCAATTTATATTGTAAATGTTATAAAAAAATTTAAACAACATTATTTTAAAACAAGTTTTGTGTATAGACTGGAAAAATAAATATATAAATTGCCTTATGTTATATAACATAAGGCAATTTATATTGTAAATGTTATAAAAAAATTTAAACAACATTATTTTAAAACAAGTTTTGTGTATAGACTGGAAAAATAAATATATGTCTGGGTATTATCTTTGAATTTGATAATTGAAGCGATGGTGGCTAAGATTAGACCTATTCAGAATAAATTCGACGAATGAGTGTTATTCATCCTTTGCAACAGTTTCCTTGATAAAACACAACATTTTTAGGGAACCAAGCAAATTTCCAGTGTTTAAAAACTTTTCATGGCTCAGATGTGCACATTCCCACCGTTATGAAATGGCCGAGTGTGATTCACGGACCATATCCTGCTGATTACAGGTCACAGGGGGAAGGGGACACACCACCTGGCTTCTCTCTTCAAAGGGTTGTCAGAAAAGGGCTGTACTGAACTAACGAAACTTGTGTCCCTGTAACAAAGTTCTGGCGTCCGAGTTTAAATGTCACGATGATAGTCTCAGAGAATCTCCTGACTTCCAAGTCGGATACAGACAGATTTCAACTTCCGTTTTGAACGTTCATTGGCCATGTCGATGACTGATAGTTCGAACCGTCGCCAAGTATAAATCCGGCTCTCTAAAAACGTTAATGTCTTGCACATTTCCGGCACACAAATATTTCTGTCTTGAACACAACGTCCATTGTCTGAAATATATTTGATACACGAAGTTTCGGAATTTTTCCCTGCTCCCATCTTCAGGTTACCTTTTATCGTTAACACTGTCATTTTTTCTGTATTGTTAGTGACGAGGGTAGGAATTTAACCCGAGACCTTGCCTTACGGATGCTATGTTAGTACGCTAACCATTATACATTATTATTATTAAGTGTTCTGTCTTACGACAGGTCCATTGCTCTGCCCAAAAAGAGCTCTCCAGTTGTCCCTATTCTCGGCTTCTCGCTTTAATTCCTGGAACGTCATCTTCTTTCCTTGTTTAAGGTCGTCGGTTAGCTGTATCAATCTTCTTCCTAGTCCTCGCTTTCCTTCAACCTGGCCTTCGGTGATATCACTCATTAATCCATTCCTTCTCATAATATGTCCCAGCCAGTTAGCTTTCCTTCGTGTAATCGCCTGCAGAATGTTTCTTTGCTCGTTGACTCTCCTCAATACTTCTTCGTTGGTCACTCGATCCGTCCACCTGATCTTCTCTATTCTTCTCCAACACCACATTTCAAACCTCTCCAGGTATTTCTGTTCCTTCTTCCTGAGTGTCCAAGTCTCTGCTCCATACAGCGCGACACTTCACTAGTTTCTTCTTCATCATTATATACATTATACCGGTAAGAAATTGTACATTCGATCGTTACAGTTAGAAAAAGGCAATATCTTATCTTTCGCAATTATAATTCGTAATATATATATTCACATGTACATTGGTTATCATCGTCCAAAGTTTTTTCGACACACATTCAGAGCACATTTACGATGCCTGGGCCATTAGCATTCATTTCAGTGTTTTGGGAACTGCGCCCTGTCGAAAATAAATAAACTTTCCAAAGTTTCTGCCACCTCAGAATTTGCCCCCCCCCTCCCCCCCCGCAATGCTAGCAGCCAGGTGCCTGTGCACTGTGAAGTATGGACGCCCCCTCTGGGCCTCAGCAGCCTTACACCGGTGTGTCGTATTGATTCTGCCCCTCGGTGCACGCCACGAGGAAGGTACAGGCGCTTACACATACTTAGTCCATCGATACGGTGACCGTTCAGGTTTCAAGGCTTGCAAATAGCAAAGACAGTAATGGAAAATGTAAAGATGTAAGAATGATAATTATTATGTTTCGTCAATGTTATCGTGCGTTCTACCTACTTAATCGTTCAATTACTCTGTATGTGGTTCGTATATTTTCTGTATGGTTTTAATTTCGTTTTCACAATAAATATCAAAAACTTTTTTGAACAACTAAAAGATAAAATTATGCAATAGTGTACGATATTTTTGGGTCCCTCGTAACATCACGCCTTCCACTAACCGTTTGTGGAAACAGAGATTGGATTAAGCCAAAAAAACCACACAGGCAGACGACGTGTGGGTGAAATACCATCTAACCTAACCTAACCTAACCTAACCTAACCTAACCTCAACTCCTAAGTTAAGAACTGAGTTCTTTGTGTCCATTTATTACGGAATATCGAAACAGAATGTTATGAAGAATAATAACGCTAGAGATATCACTGCACAGAATCATAAATTATTTACCTACTCTCTCGTTTAAATATTACCGCGACTAAAATTTCCCAAAATAAAATTTATATATTTTAATGAGATCTTTATGACACGTTGAAATGTTTTATTCTACGGTAAATCATTTTTGATAAATATTCAATTTTGATTCCATGTAACTTTTTTTATCATTCATCGGCCGATCTATGTGTATGAATGAAATTCACACCTGCAACTTTAGTGCAAATCTGAATTACCAATTATAAATCAGTCGTGTAGTTTCAGATATGAAATATTTGGGCTGGCAGAAACAGTTAATTTACTTCGGGTAAGGAACGCGTCACGCTCTCTCCCCTTACGCGATGTGTTCCGGCCGGTGTACCATGGGTCCACGTGCTGTATGTGCTGACGGGGTTGCCAGCACCCTTCACTATTCACCCCCCCAGTCGCCAACCTGCACAAGACTCACATCGTGTCTACCTCAGTGTGCCTTGCTGATAGCATAGTGTTCAGTGCAAACGCTCATCCGCGGAGTTTCAGCTCATGTACACAGGTAAGTGGTAAGTGACCTTTTAAAATGACGCGAAAACACCAAATCGGAAGACACGGCCTTGTGGTTAGCACAGCTGCTTCGTATACGCGAGATCGCGGGTTCGAATCTCGTCCCAGGGATCAGCTACATTCTCTGCGGTAAATCCTGAGATTAGTTTCTACCACGTCCGCTGACGTCATAATGCGAACTACTGAATTGACCGTTAAATAAACCATTAAACACTTACTTTTTTGGGGGGGGATTGCAAATAAATATGACACATCTAGCATCAACGACGCTATTTCAGCTGCAGAGGTTACACAGCGTTGAATGAAATGGAAATATGAGTAGATAATTTTAAAGACGCCACATCGTGGTCATTCAAGGCTTATGATTTGTATCACATGTCTATTCAATACTTTATACAAAATAAAATCACACGTAATATATATTCGACTTTAAAAATTAGTAGGTAGATACGGATTTAGAATGAAACGGTTTTGGCCTATATGACAATATGACGAAATATGTTGGAGAGAGACCGGGAAACGATAAATTCTCTGAGAATAGGCGAATTATATTTGAAGTTAAAACCGAATCTTCCACACACCAGACTAGGTGTTATCTCTACACTAATCTACTCGGTTTGTCTCTTCCGTAAAGTGTAAAAACAAGTAGAATTAGACAGGCGAGTTATAATTGCATACAAAAATGTTTGGTCGAAACACCTGTAAGGACGATAGATATTATAAAACCCAGACATAGCTCCCGTGATCACGGTAATCGACGTTTCGGTTTAATAAAAGACGGAGAATGTAATGACTACGAGAGAGATCATTTGCTCTTGAAGAATACGCGCAACTCCATGGGAGTTCGTGGAATGTTGAGCTCCAATGCAGAGCAAATACATTATTCAAATACATTATTCAAATACATTATTCAAATACATTCTCTGTCAATTTACCTGTGTTTCCTATTGTCCGTACGCTGCTGGTTCATTTGCTACAAACAGCAGTTACTGAAACAGTTAACATGAGTCACAAATTCTGTTGATGACGGAGTTAATAGACGTAACTATATGGACAAACATTGATTTTTTGACTCCATGATATTTGACTACGCTGTTTCAATAACAGAGAATGTGACGACGATCATCAATAGGGTAGTAGGAAATGGTTTGAAGGGCTGCAGGGACTGAGGAATAACGTAAATCGCCCAAAAGAATAGAATAACTTGATTATTAAAACGATTAAAAACATTATGAACTATTTAAATAAAAAGTAAGAAGTGTTATTTAATTAATTAATCTTTGTCCGTCTAATCACAATTTAAAATTTAAAATTAAGATATTTAAAATACCATGTGATGCTCCTTATCGAAACATTCGATTTACATTTGGAACATCACTTTCTCACTACATGTTTCGGTTCTTAGATGAACCATCTTCAGGTGTGTAAAAATTACAATTATATAAACTTAATATATCAGTCTGTAATGTAAATAATTCAAAGAATAAATGAATATTAATGAATGAATAAGAATAAAGAGAATAGAAAACAAAATAATATATTTGAAAAGTAAATATGAACATACCTGAGATGAGAGGTGTAGATGAGTTCCGACTATCTTAATTTTAAATTTTAAATTGTGATTAGACGAACACGATTAATTAATTAAATATATATTTTCACAATATGGCGTAACTCTATCATCTTAAGAAGTGTTAAACAACTGATAACAGTAGTTTACAAAATTGTTTGCACAATAATAAAACAGACAAGAATAGAGCAAGAAGAAATCAGGAAAAATAAATTTTATAGGTTTAAAATGTTGAAATATATGGGGACAGGGAATCAAAATATATTTTAAAATAGAATTTAAGGTTTTCACGGCGGTGAGTACGAAACGTCTGTTTTCTGGTTTGTAGCGCCGTAGCGTCTGGTAAAGGTTTAAAAACGTTTCAGAGGCCTTTGCTGCCTCCATCATCACAGCGA